GTGCAGGTCCACCGAATACTTCTGACCTTATTACCTTACGCTCATCAGAACAAAAATTTTGAAATTGGCCACGCAGCATTAGGATTTTGAGACACTGCTGGGATCGTACCAGTTATAGACATTGCGACGATTAATGGTGCAAGATAACTAATGTGCTATGCTTATGTGAGAAGAAAGTTTGTTTTAGTGAAACAAAATATACAAATAAAAGTGCTTCACTTTTTTCAGAAACTCATCAAATAGAAGGGTGTAAATGACGTAAAAATATTTTCTCCTAAAAATTCAGATTACAATAATCTAAACAAGAAATTATACCTCTGATATTATAGATTATCTAAACCGCATTTCTCCGAGCATGATGTGAACGGTTTTTATAGCACCTTAACAGTGATTTGCGCTGAATGAAGTCGCGTAGTCGGGTTATAACTAACCAAAAAGGGTTCGGCTGCTTTCAAATTTAACAAAAATTTGTAACATGTAACTTCAACTTCTCTAACAGCTACGTCGCATTGTAGGTTATGATTTAAGTGGAAAGTACCTACTCTAACATTAAATCTGGGTTGAATCTTAGTTCAATGAACATCCACTTATCAACAGAAAGGTCGCTTTTTTTATGAAAGTAACGTAATACACTATGGAAAATCGTTTTTTATTCTTTGAAGAGTCCGTTTACTACGAAAGGAAAACAATTTATGCAAAATCCTCTTTTTCTTGAAAATCGCTTATCAGGAGGCGCTTTGAAGATAATGTAATTTGCTTGAGTAAAGACAATAATCTGTTACGTTGCTATATGAATAGACTAAATCAATAAACAAAGGGGTCACTTCGCATATCTCTAAACCTTGGAGTTTGAAATCTATACGGTTGTTGCAAGAACTTACCCCCTCCTTTTTTGCCAAATCAGTGGGTTTTCATATAATTCTAAAATGGGATGCCTGCAGAAACGCTTTCAAGCTTAGCTAGGAAATCCTAAGAAAATAAGTCAGAAATGTCACAGGCAACTTTTATTTGGAGTTAAACC